TTAAAAAAAATATTTTGTATCTGTGGATATATAACTCTTAAAATTCTGAAATAAATGATTATAAGGCAACCATCCTCGTAATTCTGGAAGCCGACACTCGTGTTGATTTGTGCAGAAGAGGGGGTGCTGGCTGGGCTTCAGGTGTATACATGCAAGCCGGGCAAGGCCCAGAGGCCCGGGAACGCAAGAGGAGACCAGGAGCACTGGTTCTCTCTGGAGGGCGGGTTTCACACGATTCACTTCTCAGATGTCTTCCCTATCTCCTGCATCGGACATCTGTATGGCATTTGAAGCATATACTCTTGTAAGGAAAGAAAGTGAGGAAAAATACCTTTATGATACACGGTTTTAAAGTCTTGATAACGGTTGCTTTTCTGTTTTCATCAACCCTTTCTTCCAAGTTGAAGATCAGAAACCTGCGGCTGCTTCCCTTTTGTCCTCATTTCTTCTTCTCTCTGCCCCCACAGGAAGGAAGAGGGAATGGTTTAAAATAGAAGATGCCATAAAAGTGCTGCAGTATCACAAACCAGTGCAGGCGTCGTATTTTGAAACGTTGAGGCAAGGCTACTCAGCCAACAATGGCACCCCAGTCGTGGCCACCACGTACTCGGTTTCTTCCCAGAGCTCGATGCCAGGCATCAGATGACTGAAGACTTCGCGTAAGAGGAATGGAAATTGGAAACTAGACTGGAGTGCAGATCTTCCCTCCCTTGCTCTTTTCACCTCTCCTCACAGGCCTCCTCTCCAAATAAGGCATGATGGGCAGCAGAGAAAGGGGTTCTTGATGGTGTTGCTGTTTGGTGTTAAGTGATGGGCTTTTTCTTCTCTTTTTATGGAGGGGGTGGGGGGTGGGTATGTAATTTGTAAGTACTTTTGTGCATGATCGGCCCCTCCCTTTTCACACCCCTGCAGTTGTCTAGAGAGACAGCCTTCCCTCTGCCTTGGATTCTGAAGTGTTCCTGTTTGTCTCACCCCAGCCCTGGCCAGACGTTTTTCCTTTGATTTTTAATTTTTTTTTTTATTAAAAGATACCAATATGAGATGAAACCTTTCAAGACTTTGTCCTATAGTGCGCTGTTCAGTCCAGGAGGTTGGTCACTTCCACTGCAGGATACATTTATCTACACATTATATACTGGACATATAATATGTAAATAAATGACTTTTAGAAGAGGAATTTAACTGTTTAATTTTTCAAGGTTTTGTTTTGTTTTTTAAATTCGGGGTGTTTCTGAAATGGAGAGCCTCGCAGTTAATTTCCCTTTTTTTTTTTTTTGATGCTAGTGGCTAGGTAAGTTTCCCTGTCTTCTCCCTTTCCCCAGTCGCTGACTGTAGTTATGTAGGGTACGGAAAGAGTTTAGCTGCCTTCATAGCGCTCCCAGGACTAATGGCCTTCTCGAAGCTGTGTTCCCATGCCAAGAAAGACACAGGAAGAAACCTATTTTCTTTTTATTACCGAGCCAGGAGCAAATGGCCTCAGCTCAGACCTGGAGAAACAATGATAGAAATTGAATTCCTCCCTACGTGTTGACAGTAGGGATTTGAACTGGATTCTTGGGATTGCTATCTAAAAAACTGGAGCATCAAGCACTGTTTCTGTCCTGCAGCTTGGAATTTTTTTCCATAATGCTACTTACCGCCGACAGTGGCCTCTCTCCTTGTGCATCCATGCCTTACACCGCGCTGCACTGGACATTGTCCTTGTGCGGAAACATCTGGCTGGCCTGGGCCAGTGCAGGTGTATGGTCCCATCCCCATCCTGGGTGACCATGTTAAGTTCCCAAAAAGTACACAGGAGGAAAATTCAGGTGTCTGCTTATCTTTGCAATGTGACAGCATTTGGAATTGCACCATGGAGCATGCTCAAAAATAGTAAACTTGTCTCCTGCTGAGACGCAAAAGGTCCATCTTCTGCTGAGAAGTGGTATGAGAGAATGCTCGGTCCTTGACTAGAACAGCGACATCATTGCATTGGCTCACTGCAAACTGTCGCGTTGGTTTTTGATACAGGCTTCTTGCTGGCTTCATTTGCCAGTTGTGTTGTTTAGTTGGGAAGTAAGCAGAAAAGGGTCTTGAGATCGAGGGGTGGGTCTAGGAGGGGGACACTGGTCGATCCCTGGCTTAGGACAGTGCTCTTGGTGGCATCTCCTTTGTCAAAACATAGCCAAGATGTGAAATTAAAATCGTAGTTCTCTTTATTTAAAAATTCTAATAAATACTCAAACTTTGAAAAGCTTTCACTCTTCCCTCCCACTAAAAGTGATGTATATATACATACAGATAAGAGATGTAGGCCTCTGTCACTCAGTGTTCAACATTTTGGGGGGACATCTTTCGGTGAACTTAAAATTTTGCTGTCTGCTCTCAGTTTGTATCTTCTCTCCCAGTCTTGAGACACAGAATCAACAAGGAGTGCTCACAGTTTGCCTAGGATACTGTCCTACCTCTGGGAAAGGAATTCTGTCCCTAAGTAAGGGTCCCAGTGGACAGAAACAGCACCATGGGATTTGCTTCTAAATACCAACTCACTGTTCACATGGCCTACTCAGAAATGAACATACTGCTGCTTGTTGCCTGATTGAGAGCAGTCTGAGTTTCTGTCCATATAAGTAAAGGAGAAAAGGTAATAAATTCAACCAAGCACTAAGTGGAATCCAAAAAACACATTCTTCCACCTAAATTCTACCTTTATGGTATGGATTGAAAGTACTTTGCAGGAAAAGAGACAGGACTCCTGAAAAGAGAAATGCAGTGGTAATAGTAATTTGTGCATTTTTTCATGATCTAGAGATGTTTTTACTGGGCTGGTGTCACAACACATTACCCTCCTGAGTCCAGTTTGGGTTGATGTTGGCGTCTTTGGGTCAGGAAAGTGAACTGTGCCAAGAAGTATTTTTCAGTGACATGAATGGATCCTGTTAATGCAGTTAACTGGGGAGATTGTGCTGATGCTTTCTTAACTGACAAAAAGAGGCTTTGTCCAACACCAGAATTGCTGAAACTGGTGCTATTTTCTGTTGCAGTGGGATCCTGATGAGCAGGGATTGGTGTTTCTCCCTCCCTGGCACCATTAACACCATGGCTGTCTTCACTGGTGTGTAGTCATAGCCCTTCTGTGATAGATTACTCAGAGCCCTGGTTGCAGTGGCCGTTACCCCTCTCCACAGAAAGCAAGGAGAAAACAGAAGAAAGCACAAAAATGATCCCACTCGCAGAGTCTTTCTGGGACACTGCTTTGCCGTGAATTCTGCAAGTACTCACTTTATTCGGGCTTGACACAAACAGCTTTTTGTGTACAGCGCAGATATAAAGTCTCACAGTGAATTTGCCCGTCCTAGACTCTGGTTTATTACTAGGCCATCCATCACAGTCCACCCTGCTCAGGATAGAGAAAGACAGCATTGGCTATTTTAAAATTAACTTTGTTTTTAGTTTATCAATTTGCAGCCACTGGGGAAGCATCAGTGAGGTCATGCCATATCTTTCTGGACTTAGGACTGTGTGTGTGTGTGTGTGTGTGTGTGTGTGAGAGAGAGAGAGAGAAGGGCTACGAGGGGTCAGCTGTATTCGATTTTTTTTGTAGCCTTCCAGAATGGTGCAGCCCATGAAACAGGAGTTTTGATTTTTCTTGTAGCAAACCTGGCAGGATGGGAAAGTTAATAAATTGACGGTTTTGTTTTTACAAGTGTCTGCTGCCCCATCTGCCCTGCGGGGAGAGGGCTCCCGCACTGCTGAGTCTGAGCTGAGGCCATCTGGAGGGATCAAAGAGTGTGGGAGGAACACCCCTTGTGAGGCCGTGGAAGCCCCTCGAAAGTGGCTGCGCAAAAAAAAAAAAAAAAAAGAAAGTGGCTGCGCTGCAGGATTTCCGCCCTCGGCATGGTGCAGCGCAGCAGGCCTTGCCTCTCGCAGCCTCTAGGGAGCAGAGCGGGTCACTGCCCTCTGGGAGGCTTTTGCAGCAGTTTTGTAAATGCGTTGCTACACAGTCAAGTTCCTTCGTGACACAATTTCTGTTTTGATGTTAGGAGTCAGTCCACGTAAGCTTAGACTTGTTGAGAAGAAAAAAAAAAATCACCTTTTGTTTTGAAGAAAAAAAATGTCCACGCAGAACCGTTCTTCCTCCTCCTCCTCCTTTCTCTTGCCCACGTACAGTGCTCCTTGGAGGCCCCCCTCCCCTCCAGGACCTGTGTAACCAGAGGAGTAATCCGTCTCCCGCCAGACCCGGGTGTGCATCTCACGTTGTACTGTACGTGCTCGTCATTTCCACCCCATGCTGGAGGAATGCCTCTGTTGGTCTCCCCACCTGATCTTTTTTTAAAACAGCTTAGCCTGAGCCTCATTTCTTTTGGTTCACAAAAAGGATTTAATAACCACAGTGCGATCTTTGCCGCAACTGTGTGATTTTCAGTACTTCTGAAGTGTTCTCAAAGTCCAGCCTAGTTGAGAGAAAATTTAGAATTAGAAGAAATACCTGGAGAAGTCGTCACAGGGGGCTGAATTTTTGCCTTCAGGGAAATGAGGATTAGCTATAATTGATAATCAAGCCTCGTCCTGGTCCCTTCTGCATTTCAGAAAATAACGCACATGTTTATAACAAATAGGAGACAAGTTAGCGCAAGAGGCTCTGGGGCAAGGAGATTATCTAATGGTGATTATATAATGCAGCGGCTCTTGTGGTTCTTATTCTTAAAACTCTAAAAGAGGTCAGACCTGAAGCGACACAGGTCATGCTGCCCAGCTGAGGTGACAGCCATTCCTTCTGAGCCCTGCTGGGATGGAACCCATTTCCCCAAGGCTTCCGGGCTGTGCAGCCGATGTTGGTGACCTCAGTCTTGCTCCATCCGGGCAGCCATCTCACTTGGAGCAGGTGGGAAAGCAGCCCCAGGGTCAGCCTCTGTTCTCTGGGGTGAGCCTTGCAACAGACGTCACCTTCCCGAAAGAGCTGTTTTCCACGTCACTTTAGATGTCACCCAAAGCAGACATTTGAGATGTTCAGGTAGTAAATTGGGAAGCATTGGCTGCAATCCGTAAAAGCTACTATTGTCTGTTGATTAGGTGACTGGAGATGACCCCAGGCCCTGGGAACCTGGAGGTTTTAGGCAGACTCTCATTTGGAGGCCAGCAGCCCTTCTACTTCTGCCTCTACAAAGGCAGCTTTACATTTTGACCACATTTTTGCCGTAGCTGATGACCTTTCAGGGATGTGAGAAGCCTAATCAGAACATCCGAGAAAATGATACCCCTCGCCCTCAGATTCATCCAATAGTTCATCCTCCTAATCCCCTTAGAAATTAATAAATCAAAAGAGAAAGAAAGAATGCCATTTGGTGAGGATTTGGACACACTGCTAGAGCTGAGGCTAGCAGCCGCACGATTTTGTGAGTCTGCAATATGAAGCTTTCTAAGTCCCTGGAAGCTTTATTTATAGTGAAGATTTGGTGAGCTTTCGTTGTCTGAGAAAATGAGATGGTCCCCTTGAAGGGGAGCTCACAGGCAAGCCACATTAACTCACAATTCACACCAGGGGGATTTTGCTGGAGAAGAAAGCGCCTTTGGCCAAAAAAGCAAGATTAATATCTAAAAGGTAGACATGCATTGCTTCTGTTCCTCCAGCAACCAGTTGTTTAATCATTAGCTCTAGGTTTCCTTCGGTTTACATTCTCAGTTCTTAACCCCGCACAGAGGTCCCTAGAACACCAAAAAAGGCATTTAAAACCCTAGGGATTGGCTTTATAAAAGATCCAAAAGCAGCAGCGTTGTCATTTTCCAGGTTTCTCGCCATTTTGATGTGCTGCCCATCCTTCCACACACTCTGCAGCCAGGCCAGATGTGAAGACTGTATTCACTAACTTGTGGAACCTAAATTCTAGTTCTGGAACAATTACCTGCTAAATTGCTTACTGCCTGTGGAAGTTATCTGTGGGCTGTACCTTTCAGAGAACATTTCAACAGTATAGTAAAATTGCTCTGGGCTTGAGGGCCCAGTCAGGCGTTTTAGATCAAAACTGTAAGTCTTTGGGCCTCCTTAGGGAAAAAGCAAGATGCCTAAATCCCAGTGCTGGGCCTTGAGACCGTACTCCCCTCTCCCTAGTATGGGGTGAAGTGGCACCCTCAGGAAATCATTTTTCCAGTGAGATTACCTATAAATCCCTAGGGGAAGTAATACCCATATGAACCTGTCTTTCTGAGCACTTTTATGCCAACTTCAAAATGGTAAGCTAAAGCAGCAATGACTCCACGTAGCCTCTGTCACCCTCTTTATCGTCCCGTTGGCGAGGTGGGGGGGAGCTTTTCAGGGTTAAACCTTGGTCTTTAACCTCTGTTGTGGAGATGTGTCACTAACAAATGATCTAAAGAAGACCTCTAGTTTTTGTTTCCCGAGTCCAGTGGCATAACAGATATGACTTAACTCCCGGGAACGTAGAGGCTGATGATGATCAAGACACCCACGAACCAGAAAGATCTGTCCCACATAGAGCCTCCACAGGGAACAGATCTGAAGTTAGGTTCTGGAGAACTTCCAAAGCGCTGAAATGCAGGGAGGACTTGGAGGACCTTTGCTCAGCAAGCAGGTAGCTTGTGTTCCTCCCAAGAACACGAAGGAGCTCCGAAGGGAATGGCCCGCATTGAAGCCATAGCGCGCAGACTCAGACCTTCCCTCTGCCACTTCTCACATGGCTCGTGCACTCTTCGCTCAGAATCCAAGGGGACCCTCCTCTCCAAAATCTCATTGGCTTCAGGTGTTTTGTTTAGCCTCTGAGAACCTCCCCCTTTCACTCCCACCTCCGGATGGACAGAGATGTGTTGCTCGGGGCACAGATGCGTGAGTCCAGGGCCCAGCAGCACAGTGTTGTATTTAGTGGTTAGAAAAACAGTCGGTCCACTCTGTTAACAGGATGTGGTGCAGTTTTGTACACATCAGGTCTGTTTTTATTGTTTCATGGTCTGAAAACCTTCAAGCTGGTTTATCATCCAAGAAAAGGCAGATGGTTAGACTAAGTAACATTTAGTTCATATCTCTGTCTTAGGAAAGGTAGCCGTCCGTTTGCTGTGTGCTTAAGGAAGTCAGGAGTATTTGAGGATGTTGGGAGCTGTTGTAAAAATAAAGTGGCTCTGGCCTACCCAAGTGTATCAGAAAGAGAGCGTGGAAGCCGGTTAGTAGCATCTTTAAATCTGCTCTGGCCAGCCCCTCCTTCATCTCAAGGACCTTGTCTCTCCTCCTCTCCAGTGACCTTGGTAAGGGACGAGCTCTGAGGAGGCAGCGAGGCCCCAGCTCCTCTTTGCTCGGCTGCAGGATGTGGCCTCCAAACAGTCTGAGGTTTTTTTAAGGGGTTTCCTCACCATGATTCCCTCCACGTCACTCACCTGCCGTCAGCATCCGAAAAGGTTAAAATCCCCGGGACCATTCCAGTTCTAAAACAGATGAACCAGATGTGCTTCCTCCCCTTTTGCAAGTGTATTGTCCAGATGCAGTCTCCCTTTGGCCAAGTTTGACAGGTACTTCCAGGGAACCCCTTAAATTGAGGCAAGGAGTCAAGATGTTTTGAGTTTTCCCCCCAGAAGGCAGAGTCTTTGTCCCTTCCCCCTCATGCCTCATATATTTTAGCCAAGTCTCAAAAGGTCAAGTCTGGTAATGTCTCCAGAACTGAGGTGAGAGCTGGGGTCCCATACCCCCAGGGACCAGTCCCCTGGGGGATCCCACATGCTCAAACTAGATTGTTCTGATCCCACCGGAAGTTTGCTGCTGTCCCCGTCCGCTAGGGCCCCTCAGAAAGGAAACAACCTAGGCTTCCAGTCCTTCGGTGACCAGTCTACAGAGTGTGTATCACCTGCGTGGGTGGTGTGCCTCCCACTTGTAGAAAGGGTAGAAAGTGGAACATTCAGTGGGCTGAGTACTCACATCCTCGGAGAGGTTGGCAGAAATAACCCCAGTGAGTGCAAAACAAAACCGAGGAAACCAAGGAACCACATTTGTACGGGAGGAGTTGGTTATGGTCCTTTTACCTCTTGGGACCTGACGCTGCAGTATGAAAGTGGGGTTTGGAAAATCATGCTTAGCCCAACCCAAATGCATTCCAGGACTTCGGAGCTTCCAGCCCATGGGTGCATGGTCTGTTCCCATTTTTTGTTTGTTTCCAAAACAGCCTTGCTTGGTATTGCATGGAAAGTTCTGGTTTTCCTTCCTGCCCACTTGGGACCACCCACCCAGGCCTGGTCCCTTCCCCAGTATCTTCACAGTACTCCTAGGAAGACCTGCGCAGTGCCCTTAGGAGCCGAGGGGAGTGGAATTTGGTCTGGAGAAGGCAGCAGAAACTGAATTTTCCTGTTTCCTCTTCTCAAGGAGGGTGTTTTTAGGCTTCCTTCACGCCTCTCTTTCCTGTGGGTACAGTCGGGTTGGGAGGAAGGGCTGAAAAGAAAAGGAAACGGGATCCAGCCAGCCCAGGTTTGGGTCCGGGACAGGTGCACAGCTGATGCTCTTCCACCCCCTTCAGTAGCAGGCCAGTCATATGTAACGATTCTCCTTTACTAAAGCGTCTGCTTCTGTGGTGCTAGCAACAGAGGACAGACAGACCCCCTCCCCTGTGCTTTCCCTAAAGTTCCTCCATCCCTGTAGCCCACTCCTTGTTGTAAAAACAAGTGCTTAATCCTGTGAGCGTGCTATTCCTTTCTATGTGTTAATCAGTTTCCTTCCATTGGAGCTGTGTGGGAGGGAAGGGCATTGGAATTGTAGGTTGTAATCTTGTGCCAACCAATAAAAACCAGTATTTCACACACATCCCTGCTTAGTGTCTGGTCTCTTCTTTCTCGAGGTTTTCCTTGAGTCCTTCACATCAGTCTTACTTTGATTTTACCCCCACTCTCTGCTGAGGTCTTGAGAGTTGCCCTAAAGGTAGGTCAGAGGTGGCCCTGTGGATGATCTGCTGTTCGGGGAGTTCAAGTGAGAAGTGAATGGGAGAAGCCCACGGCAGGGAGTGAGACTCAGTGTTTGTTGCCGCTGGCTGGCCCTGCTGCCGGGTACGCAGGGAGACTCGGGTGGCGCTGAGAGGGCCTGCCCCCCCTAAGCCAGTCAGGCTTTCCTCGGAGCCCACAGGGACACGAAAGGGACAGAGTTGAGCCACATCCAAGATGATACAAGAGCACAGCCAGACGTTGTTTTCCCGCATGGGAGCAGGAGGTGGGCATGGTAAGATCAGGAAGCCTTGTGTCCCATCCTTTCCAGTGACTTTGGTCGGGAACCGTGTTTTGAAGATGTGTAGTGGTAGGACTCGCAGCCAGAGAAGACCAGGCAGATCGCCATCGGTGGGAGGGCAGCACTGAGTGACCTGGGAGACAACATGTTGAGCTGTTGTGAAAAATAAAGCATGATGAGGCTAAATTTTGGAAGACTACAAAAGCCAGGCCAGGGAGCTGGGCTTCATACCTGTGAAGCATTCTTGAACAACATAAAGATAGTCCTGTAATATCAACCATGTTTGAGGAGGAGGCAGCGGGAAAGGTTGGGAGAGAAGTGGTTTGGAAGCTCATGATACCCCGTGCATGAGATGATCCGGACTCAGGGTGAATGAACCTGGGGATGAAGAAAGGGATATAGAAGCAGGAATAAACAGTGTATCACAATCAGATAAACATGTCCATCCACTAAGGGAGGCTGGCCTTCCTGGGATTCTGGTGGCATCACCAGTGGCCAAGTTGTGGTAAGCCAACAAACCTGATACAGTCAGTGTACCCAGAGGGTCACTACCAGGATGAGACTCACACGAACCTAACTCATAAGAGACTGAGATGGACATGCCTGGATGACAGTTGGCTCTTTTGTATGATGACAAATGTCAGACCAAGTTAACCTGGCTAGTGCACTGGCTATCGGCGTGAGTAGCCAAAAATAGGAAGTTGGCTGCTAAACAGTAACCTGATGACTTCATTCCACCACAGGACAGATGCCCTACCAGCTGGTCAGGGCGCCCTTTGCCCCTGAACTCTGATTCTGCAGGCCTCCTTTGTCCATCCTATGATGATCCCCCCCTCCTTTATCAAAGGATTCTTTCTTTTGCCAGATTTAGTGTGCATAATGAGGCCATGAGCTTATAAATGCTGACACAAGTGATGTGCTATACTTAGGAAACTACCAGATGGCAATCTCTAGTTGGGATCTGGGGTTCCCAGAACTCTCCACTCGCCCGTGTCCGATGATGATAGGCCATTGTGCAGGTGTCCCATCCCCATCACATTTACTACATTGCTCCCCCATCCAACTCAGAGGGTAAGTGCAGGCTTTAGGATTGTCTTGCTGCAGCCCAGGCTTCCAATAGCCTGTAGGACTTGTGGCTACAGAGAGAGAGGTCTAAAGAGTCCCCAAAACTTGGAGTATGGGTGAGGAGAGGAAATCAGCTCAGAGGCCACCAGCGCAGCTGTGACGCCGCTGGAACCAGCAGCAGGGACAGTTGGCCACAGCACACATTGTGATGCCCGCACCCTTTGTTAGGCTGAATGACAGCTCTGAGCATCCAAGCCAGACGAAGTTGGCACAATTCTTGCTCATCCTCCAGTCAGGCTGGCTCCCATCCCTCTAGAGACCTGATCATTGTACCCAAGACAGCCTGGCCTTGTAAGCCATGGCCTTGTTTGCTTTCTGGTTTCAGACACATTTGGGGTGTGAAAGGTCTATTTTCTCTCCTAGGTCTTGTGACAGCCAGCTAGCATCTCAGCATCTGAGGATGCAGCCATGTGGCTCCCTGTTCTATGTCCTGAATACCAGCAACGTGCTAAACCCAGGACACACAGTCCTCACAGAAGCACCTGCTTGGGTGACAGATGGCGCAAAACAGGAGAGATTACAGCCTGGGGAGGTAAGCCACTAGAGGTCAGGTGAGAGGGGACAAGGGGGAGAGCTCAAGCAGGAGGACCATAGGAGCGTGGGAGAGTAAGGGAACTGGAAGAGGGAGGAAGGACTGTCCTACGTCAAAAGGCTGCCTGCTAGAATAGAAGGTGTGAGCATCGCAGTTAGACCCCGGTTCGGGTCTCAGCTCAGCTGTTTGCCAGGCTCTGTGATCTTGGACAGGGTACTGTCCCCGTTCCCTCCTGTTCAGTGGGGCAGAAGTCCACTTGTCGTGCTTGCTGTGAGCATTAAATGAGCGGAGGAATGTGTGTGATGTCAAAATTGCTGTGTGATCATTCAGTGGTAGCTGTGAGCAGACACCTGCTCGGGGATGGCCAGGGGCAGTGCTGAGTTCACTAAGTGACAACAGAGACAGATAATCACAGTGCAGAGTGACAAGTGCGATCAAAAGAAGGCTGACGGAGGGACTGCCTCCTTCCCAGAGGAGCCATCCTCATAAAGGATGCAGAGGAATGCAGGAGTTCTCAGCAAAGGGAACAGCATTGCCAGGCTAGGGCACAGCACTGTGCTCATGTAACAGCAAGTGTGCTGGGGCTGGAACATGATACTGAGAGTGGGCAGGGAAGAGAGAGGGGCAGGAGGGGCCACAGAAGGTCAGCCGGGGTCAGGTGGCTTGGCAGGCTGTTTGAACTCTACTCCGGACGACTGGGAAGCCAGCAGAGGTTTTAAAACAGAGCAGTGACTGCGTCAGGTTGGACATTTGAGGAAGATGATACTACTAAGCGTGGTCCTTGTGTTCCAGGCCTTAGCACCAGGCAGTGTGTTGACGGCTTTACATTTAGTCTCTGCATCCCTGTGATGCATAGGACCTGTGATCATTACCTTGTCTGGTAACGGGAATGGAGGCTTAGGGAAGCAGACTACTTTTGAAGGGAATTGGACAGACTAATTCGAAAAAATCATAGGGTCAAGTGCCAAGGATGTCTAAAGATAATTTTGAAAAACTCCAAGGGAAAATACGGGACTACAAGGGAAGTCCTGTGTTCTATCAGCATCAAGTCTTAATACTGGGGGTGCCCGGCTGGCTCAGTCTGAAGAATGTGCAACGCTTGACCTCGGAGTCATGAGTTTGAGCCCCACGTTGGGTGTAGAGATGACTTAAATAAACAAACCTGAAAGAAAAAGAAATCAGGTGCCATAAAATAAAAGACTTCATAGAAAGATAGAGTCACTAAAACAATGTGATAGAGAAATAAAAGAGAAAATAGAACGGGGGACCAAGGAACAGACCCATGCACATGTGGGAAGATGTTAAAAGCCAGAGGAAATGTGCACCGGGGTGGGGAGAGGCTGGGTTCCTCAGTAAATGGTGTTGGAACAACCGACTAGTCAAATGGAAAAAAAATAAAATTAGCTCCTTACCTCACAGCATACTTGAAAATAAGTTCACCAAAGTAAAATGAGTCCTAAAACTTTTAGAATAAAATACAGAAGTTAAGTAATGTATCTGAGGTCACACAGGTAATAAATGGAGAAACTGTATGTAGTTGAACCTGAGAGGTCTGGTGCCAGAACCTTGCCCTCCAACCCACTCAGTAGTACTCTGTCCTGGTCACTTTAGAGCCCCGCCCACATTGGGTATAGAGATGACTCCCAAAATAAAATCTTGGGGCGCCTGGGTGGCACGGTCAGTTAAGAGGCCGACTCTTGGTTTCGACTCGAGTCTTGATCTCAAGGTCACACACTCACAACCCCGAGATCAAGAGTCTCATGCTTTACTGACTGAGCCAGCCAGGCTCCCCTGAAGATATCTTTTTTAAAAAATAGTTATCCTGCTCTGGCCACCAAACACTATCCCCTTTTCATCACTGCATTACTCATTCATGCACCATTATTTACGCCCATCTTTCTGGTCCCCGTGTTCTTCCCCTGCAGCGTCCCTGTAGAATTCCATCCCTGACTTAATCCATTCATTTGCAAGAGCTGCGCCTGCCCAGAGAATACCAGATGCCACGGGCTCATGCCTCCCCTCCACTGAGCCTCCAGTGCCACCCATCCTTGCCCAACGACTGCCAGAGGCCACTTTTCTTGACGTCTCATCCGACCCCTCCCTTCTCCCATTGATGTCCCCAGCAATACTTCTGATTCTCCTCCCACCCAGAGCTTTCAGAGTAGAGTTCCAACTCCTTAGATTAGCACCCAATATCTTTTGTGATTTGGCCCCTGCCCATCTCTGCAGACTCTTTTCCTGCCACCGACCTTGCCCTTCTCTTCCCCTGATCTCCTCGAGCTTCTTACAGTTCTCCAAATGCATCACACACCATTGCACAACTCCACAGCTCACATGTGCTCTGCCCTCCTTTGGGAAAGATCTGGGAGATTCTCTCTCCTCGGCAGGGTTGTGGAACTCCTGTACATGCCCTCATTCCAAAGGCACCCTCTAAGGTGGGGAGACTATCTCTCTGTTCTTGGTGTCCAGCTGAGTGGCTCAGAGCAGGTACCTAGGAAATGTGGGTTGGAGGAAGCAAAGGGCCCAATGATGTTTTGGGAATGTACCCAACACAAGGAAATGTATCCCTAATGTCACCCTGTACTCTGGACAGCTTTACCAGCCACACACACGCCCCTTCAACTTTCCCCCAAATTGGGAAGGAAGCCAGTGCAGGCCTGCCCTCAGGGATCTGGGGAGAAGTTCGGAGCAGGGGGAGGAAGAGCACTATAGTAGTCTCTTCCCTTTGGGATAAGGGTGGTGTTCAACCAGCATAGCCCTTTCCCCACCTTTCTCTTCCAGTCTTGAGTTTGTGGGTTGGGGGGGAAAGGGGAAGGTGCTTCTTCAGGGGGAGGAAACCCCCCCATTCCGGCTATTCCCCTTCTCCCTCAGCCCAGGATCCTGTGAACTTTCCCGGACCTAGGGCAGGACCTAATGGAAGGCTAGTGCC